CTGCTTGCTGCAGAGATGAGTTCAATTCCTGGATGTCCTTGTTAACTTTCTGTCTCGTTGATCTGTCTAATGTTGACAGTGGGGTGTTGAAGTCTCATTATTATTGTATGGGAGTCTAAGTCTCTTTGTAAGTCTCTAAGGACTTGCTTTATGAATCCAGGTGCTCCTGTATTGGGTGCATATATATTTAGGATAGTTAGCTCTTCCTGTTGAATTGATCCCTTTACCATTATGTAATGGCCGTCTTTGTCTCTTTTGATCTTTGATGGTTAAAAGTCTATTTTATCAGAGACTAGTATTGCAACCCCTGCTTTTTTGTTCTCCATTTGCTTGGTAAATCTTCCTCCATCCCTTTATTTTAGGCCTATGTGTCTCTGCATGTGAGATGGGTCTCCTGAATGCAGCAGACTGATGGGTCTTGACTCTTTATCCAGTTTGTCAGTCTGTGTCTTTTAATTGGAACATTTAGTCCATTTACATTTAAAGTTAATATTGTTATGTGAACTTGTCCTGCCATTATAGTATCCAACTGTGGTTATTTTTATGAATTAGTTGATGCAGTTTCTTCAGTTTCTTCCTAGTCTCGATGGTCTTTACATTTTGGCATGTTTTTGCAATGGCTGGTACCGTTTGTTCCTTTCAATGTTTAGTGCTTCCTTCAGGATCTCTTGTAAGGCAGGCCTAGTGGTGACAAAATCTCTAAGCATTTGCTTATCTGTAAAGGATTTTATTTGTCCTTCACTTATGAAACTTAGTTTGGCTGGATATGAAATTCTGGGTTTAAAATTCTTTTCTTTAGAATGTTGAATATTGGCCCCCAGTCTCTTCTGGCTTGTAGAGTTTCTGCCGAGAGATCTGCTGTTAGTCTGATGGGCTTCCCTTTGTGAGTAACCCGACCATTCTCTGGCTGCCCTTAAGATTTTTTCCTTCATTTCAACTTTCGTGAATCTGGCAATTATGTGTCTTGGAGTTGCTCTTCTCGAGGAGTATCTTTGTGGCATTCTCTGTATTTCCTGGATTTGCATGTTGGCCTGCTCTACTAGGTTGGGGAAGTTCTCCTGGATGATATCCTGAAGAGTGTTTTCCAGCTTGGTTCCATTTTCCCCCTCACTTTCAGGCACCCCAATCAGACGTAGATTTGGTCTTTTTACATAATCCCATACTTCTTGCAGGCTTTGTTCATTTCTTTTTCTTCTTTTTTCTTTTGGTTTCTCTTCTCGCTTCATTTTGTTCATTTGGTCCTCAATCGCTGATACTCTTTCTTCCAGTTGATCGAGTCGGTTACTGAAGCTTGTGCATTTGTCACGTATTTCTCGTGTCATGGTTTTCATCTCTTTCATTTCATTTATGACCTTCTCTGCATTAATGACTCTAGCCATCAATTCTTCCACCTTTTTTTCAAGATTTTTAGTTTCTTTGCGCTGGGTACGTAATTCCTCCTTTAGCTCTGAGAAGTTTGATGGACTGAATCCTTCTTCTCTCATCTCGTCAAAGTCATTCTTCGTCCAGCTTTGATCCGTTGCTAGCGATGAGCTGCGCTCCTTTGCCGGGGGAGATGTGCTCTTATTTTTTGAATTTCCAGCTTTTCTGCCCTCCTTTTTCCCCATCTTTGTGGTTTTATCTGCCTCTGGTCTTTGATGATGGTGACGTACTGATGGGGTTTTGGTGTAGGTGTCCTTCCTGTTTGATCGTTTTCCTTCTAATAGTCAGGACCCTCAGCTGTAGGTCTGTTGGAGATTGCTTGAGGTCCACTCCAGACCCTGTTTGCCTGGGTGTCAGCAGCAGAGGCTGCAGAAGATAGAATATTGCTGAACAGCGAGTGTACCTGTCTGATTCTTGCTTTGGAAGCTTCCTCTCAGGGGTGTACTCCACCCTGTGAGGTGTGGGGTGTCAGACTGCCCCTAGTGGAGGATGTCTCCCAGTTAGGCTACTCAGGGGTCAGGGACCCACTTGAGCAGGCAGTCTGTCCCTTCTCAGATCTCAACCTCCATGTTGGGAGATCCACTGCTGTCTTCAAAGCTGTCAGACAGAGTCGTTTGCATCTGCAGAGGTTTCTGCTGCGTTTGTTATTGTTTACTGTGCCCTGTCCCCAGAGGCGGAGTCTACAGAGACAGGCAGGTTTCCTTGAGCTGCTGTGAGCTCCACCCAGTTCGAGCTTCCCAGGGGCCGGCTTTGTTTACCTACTTAAGCCTTCAGCAATGGCGGGCGCCCCTCCCCCAGCCTCACTGCTGCCTTGCCAGTAGATCACAGACTGCTGTGCTAGCAATGAGGGACGCTCTGTGGGCGTGGGACCCTCCCGGCCAGGTGTGGGATATAATTTCCTGGTGTGCCCGTTTCCTTAAAGCGCAGTATTGGGGTGGGAGTTACCCAATTTTCCAGGTGTTGTGTGTCTCAGTTCCCCTGGCTAGGAAAAGGGATTCCCTTCCCCCTTACGCTTCCCAGGTGAGGCAATGCCTCGCCCTGCTTCAGCTCTTGCTGGTCGGGCTGCAGCAGCTGACCAGCACCAATTGTCCGGCACTCCCTAGTGAGATGAACCCAGTACCTCAGTTGAAAATACAGAAATCACCGGTCTTCTGTGTCGCTCGCGCTGGGAGTTGGAGACTGGAGCTGTTCCTATTCCACATTTTCTTTATCCAGTCTATCATTGATAGGCTTTTGGTTCCAACTCTTTGCTATTGTGGATAGTGCTGCAGTAAACATATGTGTGCATGTGTCTTTATAGTAGAATGATTTATAATCCTGTGGGTATATACCTAGTAATGGAATTTCTGGGTCAGATGGTATTTCTGGTTCTATATCCTTGAGGAATTGCCACACTGTCTTCCACAATGACTGAACTAATTTACATTCCCACCAACAGTGTAAAAGTGTTCCTGTTTCTCCACATCCTCTCCAGTGTCTGTTGTTTCCTGACTTTTTAATGATTGCCATTCTAACTGACATGAGATGGTATCTCATTGTGGTTTTGATTTGCATTTCTCTGATGGCCAGTTGACCAGTGATGATGAGCATTTTTTCATATGTTTGTTGGTTGCGTAAATGTCTTCTTTTGAGAAGTGTCTGTTCATATCCTTCACCCACTTTTTTGATGGCGTTGTTTTTTCTTGTAAATTTGTTGAAGTTCTTCGTGGATTCTGGACATTAGCTCTTTGTCAGATGGATAGATTTTGAAAATTTTCTCCCATTTTGTAGGTTGCCTGTTCACTCTGATGACAGTTTGGTTTGTTTGTTTGTTTGTTTTGCTGTGCCTTTTGTTGCCATTGCTTTTGGTGTTTTAGTCATGAAGTCTTTGCCCATGACTATGTCCTGAATGGTATTGCCTAGAGTTTCATCTAGGGTTTTTATGGTTTTAGGTATTACATTTAAGCCTTTAATCCATCTTGAGTTAATTTTTGTATAAGGTGTAAGGAAGAGGTCCAGTTTCAGTTTTCTGCATATGGCTGGCCAGTTTTCACAACACCATTTATTAAATAGGGAATTCTTTCCCCATTGTGTGTTTTTCTCAGGTTTGTCAAAGATCCGATGGTTGTAGATATGTGGTATTATTTCTGAGGTCTTGGGCCTTTTGTATAAGATCACTAACCCCATTCAAGAGAGCTCCACCCTCAAGACCTAATCATTTCCTAAAGGCTCTACCTCCTTGTACCATCTCCTAAGTGGTTAGGTTTTTAACATATGAGTTTTGCGGGTCAAAAACATTCAGACTATTAGATTTCCTGCACTTTGAACATCATACCTACTTTAATAAGTATCTGCTAAATAACTGAATTAAAATGTCCTGAGTTCTTTTTAAGACAAGATTTTAAATATATATATATAAAAGATGTTATTAAAGTATCAGTTTTTTCTTTGAAACTATGCATACAAAAGAAAGATACACAAAGTTTTATACTGATCTAAGTTACTAATTTTAAACTGAGAAACCACTTTAGTTTCTTTTTAATGTTTACTGCATATAAAGACATTTTAGAAATGTTACTACTGATGTTATACATATGCATAAAGTACAAGTCTACAGATATTTTGGCAAAGCATAGCCAGTGATTTATCATTGCTTGGGGAAAAAAAGGCTCACACCATATCTTAGAGGAGAATTGATGTCATGGGTTATTACATTTTATAATGGCCCTTTTTCTTGTTTTAGAAATACAAAAAATATCAAATGCAAATTCTAAATATGATTTATAGTCATACATGTAGGTTCACAGAATAACCTCAACAGCAACAGGAGGATGAAACTGTTAGAAAGTTTAGCTTTGCACATAGGAAAATTGCTTAGTTTTGGGACTTATAGAGGGATTGGGGAGTTTTATGTAATTTATCCTGATAAATTTGAAAATCCTGCAAAGTACATCCATAGCAATATGCTTCCCATGTGATGATATAATGGGACTGGAGCAGGACACACAAAAATGACAGCTTTTATTTAGCATTTATAATGGCCTTCAAGTTTGTAAAATTATCAGTGAGTCTTTCACAAGTTTTTACTGTCTTAGATGAATTTTTTTTTTTTTTTTTTGAGACAGAGTCTTGCTCTGTCACCCAGGCTGGAGTGCAGTGGCATGATCTCGGCTCACTGCAACCTCCACCTCCCAGATTCAAGCAGTTTCTCCTGCCTCAGCCTCCCGAGTAGCTGGGACTACAGGTGCATGCCACCACGCCCAGCTAATTTTGTGTGTGTGTGTTTTAGTAGAGACGGGGTTTCACCGTGTTGCCTAGGCTGGTCTCAAACTCCTGAGCTCAGGCAATCTGCCCACCTTGGCCTCCCAAAGTGCTAGGATTACAGGCTTAAGCCACCACGCCTGGCCGAACGAGTTTTATAGAATTATTTATGTAAAAAGATTACTTTGAATTGGGTGGTTTTGGTTTTTGCTTTTGTTTCTTTCAAAAGCTGAGTATATTGAAGTCTTGGTATTTTTTTACCTCTTCCTATGTGACAATTTCTGCTTTTTCTACTCATAAGTTCTAGAATTTTCTTGACTTGAAGAACCTTAAAGCATTGTGACTTAACTGACAAGGAAAGAGTTACATAGTTTCCTCTTCTGCACAAATTTTCAGAAGATTATGAAGCAACAACACTTGCTACCTTTTAAATGAAGACATTTCTTTACTTTTAATATATATTTTTTTTCACCAGAATAACAATAAACCAGAAATAAGTGTGAAAGAGTTTATAGATTGGATGCGTTTGGAACCACAGTCCATGGTTTGGCTGCCAGTTTTACATCGAGTGGCAGCAGCAGAGACTGCAAAACATCAGGCCAAATGCAACATCTGCAAAGAATGTCCAATTGTCGGGTTCAGGTAAGGCGCGCCAGTGCTGGAGGAGGCTATTTTCTGTTCCCTTTGCGTAATCTCAGTGGTACGTCTATCCTCCATTCCCATTTGGAGGTTTGCCTTCTAAATAAATGGTATGTTCAGCATGTCTCATCTATCAAAAAGTAGCATTTCTTCTTATAACTACTACATGAAGCATATTTTATTATTGTTGCTATTATTATTTTCATTTACACTACTTTGGTCAGAACCAGAGATTTCTATGAATGTCCATTTACTTAGGTCACAAAAATGATTCATGCATGAAAATTGTATGGCTGATTATAAATAGATAACCCTGATGGAATTTGGTGAATATTCTGAGGTCTTTGGGGTCAAACTTAGCAAACAGGAAGCAATGTTTAATTACCAGCTGAGAAGTAACCAAATTACTTTGTGTTACTTCTGCCAAGTTTGGTATGAAGTACATTAACCCGACTTCTTCCCATGAGGAGCACTGCTGAATGCCATACTTTAATGTAATCAGTGTTTCAGACTCTTCAGTTTGTGACCCCAAAGCTGACAGTGCAGAGTCTATGGTTTGTCCTAAGGTGGACATCCTGATCCACTCCTCTTAACATAGGTATGCATTTGACCTCTTGAATATATTATATTTCTCTTCTGGGGGGAATCTGGAAAATAGCCCCAGTTTAATTTGGAAATCTTTTATGAAACAACATAAGCCTACTCAATAGGGAAACTCAAGATTTTATGTGTCTCTGTTTTTGTTTTTTTCTTTTTCTGACCAAGTCTTTCTCTGCCACCCAAGCTGGTATGCAGTGGCACAATGGCTCACTTCAGCCTCTGCCTCCCGAGTTCACACGATTTCCCTGCCTCAGCCTTCCGAGTAGCTGGGACTACAGGCTCATGCCACAACACCCAGCTAATTTATGTGTTTTTAGTAGATACTGGGTTCCACTATGTTGGCCAAGCTGGTCTTAAACTCCCGACCATGTGATCTGTCCTCCTTGTCCTCCCAAAGTGCTGGGATTTCAGGCGTGAGCCACCATGCGTGGCCTTATGTGTCTCTTTTATTCGTACCTGAAGACAAAGTGCCAAGATGGTGATTCTCTGAGGGAGAGTCAAATCAGGAGGACTGGGATTGGTTGTTGTTATATATAATATAAGTATTAGTATCTTGAATTAAACAGAATTGCTTTCATTTGACTGACTTTATCAGCATAATACTTTGTATGAAGCATATCATTGCATTCTTTGTGGATGGCTAACATAAGAAATGGAAATTCAAAAGTTCTCTTATGCATTATGGTGTAGTTGGGAAGACTAAAGTATTGTGAGGTCAGAGGGCCTTGCTGCTATGCATTCTAAGAGGATGAAAAGATAGGTAGGTAGTGTGAAGTAGAGCGAGCATTAGCCTGGCAGACAGCCAGGGTAATAGATGCCCCAGTGGAAGTCAAAGCACAAATCTTGGAAGAGAAAAATGGTAAAGTCACAGTTTAAATGCAGCAGGGTTCTTGGAATGGCTGCATTTGGAGTATCTGGTAAACATAGGTGTACGGGAGAGGGAATAGCTGGAATGTGGCAAGGTCGGTCTACTACTCGGAAGATAATTCAAATGAGAGTCATCAAAGCTAATAATCACTGCTATTTATTGTTTACTTTATGCCAGACAATGTGCTAAGAGGTGTTGTATTTGTTATTTTAGTCACTTTTCATAAAAACTCTGTAAGATTGGGAGTATTACCTCTACTAAAGGAACTAAGACTCCAAGATTAGTCAACTTGCCAAGGCCAGGCAGCTGACTGTGAAGAGACAAAGTTAGGATTCAAATCCAGATCGCTTTGGTTCTCCAGTTTGTGTTCTTAATCAAGATGGTTTTAAAAAGCAGATTAGATTTTTAGGAGAGGAGAGATTTAATATTAAGAAGTAATGAAATGGTATTGAAAGAGCAATTGATTTAAGTAAGTCATTAATTATTAGATCAAAAATATTACTCTGGATATAAACTGTAATGTGAAGATGGGAAATATCCACATTAATTGACTTGGGAAGAGACTGCCGTGTGTGTGTGTGTGTGTATATATATATATGTGTGTGTGTATATGTATAATCTGCCATATATGGTCATTGGTATAACCTAGAGATGCCATGAGGGACCATATTTCTCAGCATCTGATGGATGTGAAAAGTGAAGGACAGGATAAAATACTCTAAAAACATTAAATATTTGAGTGACCTTTAAAGTTTCATTTCTTAAATTAAAAAGGCCTGAAGCAACTATGCAGAATATTAAGATTTAACTGAGTTGTGGGTACATGGATGTTTATTATATTCTCCCTACTTTTCAATTAACTTGAAATATTTCAAAAGAAAAATATGTAAGAGCAATTATAAAGAGTGAACAACCTGAAGTGTTAAATTTCAAGGGTTTAAGTTTCTGCTAGTACTATCAAATTGACCTGTAGATGTCTCTATGACAGAGATGTGAAGTTGACAAGCAGATCAGAGATTAAGGTTATGGGAAGATATTCAGGAGACAGTGTATTGAGAAGTAGCTCTGGAGTCAGGCTACTTGGACTTGAATCCTGGATCTATTGTTTGGCAGTGAGACTTTGAATAAGATACTTGGCCTTCTTGAACCTGAGTTTCTTCAACTTCAGATTCTATCAGTGTTTCCTTATAGTAGTAGTTAATACATGAAAGTGTCTAGGGCAGTACCTATCACAGAGTAGACATTCAGTAAATGTTGGCTTTTTTTGTTACTACCAATAACATCATTAGTGTGATAGTAGGAAAACCTATGAATGTATTGTTGAACATTTCCATTAAGTGGAAATGCCAGAAAAACCTGGACTCAGTAAAAGGCAGGATTAGAGAGAGGTATAGTAAGGGAGAGAACAGGATTCTTCAGAGAAGTAAAGAAGCATAGTGTTGTGGAATTCAAAAGAGAAGGCTTTAGCAAGTTGGTAGAGGTGTTAGGTGCATCAGAAAGATTCTTTGAATCAGAAGTCATTGGGAATCTTAGAGAGGATTCTATCCATGTCATAATAAAGATGGCTCAGGAAAATACATAGGCTAGTATGTGCAAACAACTTGTTTAAAAAATCTAACTCTAACTTAAAGAAAATATGTCAGGATATTGAAAATTGGAAGATGGTAAGTGATATATTGTCTTCCTTTTACTTGAATGTATATTTTTCCTGTTTTCTACATTGAGAATGTAGTACATCTAAAATTTTTAATTTTTGAATGAAAGAGAAATATGTCCAGAGTTGATACCTGGTTTAGGCACAAGGCTGAGCAAAGGTTTCTTCAAGCTAATGGTAACTTAATTATTGCACAAAGATTACCCATGAAGGGAATGAATAAAAGAACAATTCCAATAGTAAAATGGGGTCCAATTGGAATAGGTCTGATTAGCTTAGTTGTAAAAAGATGCATCTTTCTCTGTGTCTTCAGAGAATGAATGGAAAGGCAAATACAGAAATAAAGATAGAGAAATATGTCTATTGTAGAATAATCTTATATAATCTTAACCTCATTCAGACTGTCTATCAAGCTTCTACCATATATTTATATATATTTAAAATATTCATTTTCCCTGAACTTTTATAAATACTGCTAGAGGTTTTCACTAATTACCTCCAAATTAAATGTTAATGAAATCTTAGATTTACAGAGTGTTTTGTAAGCTGGGAATTTTTTCAGTTAGAATCATACACAGTTGCTTAATAGTGCTCGCATAAATAAATTAGAGCTTTAGTTCTCTTTCTTGTAAACAAAGTGAAGGTAGGTAATCCAAGACTGTTTTTTGTGCCCACCTGGGCCCTTAGCTCTGTTTTCATGCACTGTCATCCCTAACATGTGGCTTCCATCTTCAAAGTCACTTCATGCTAACAAAGTGACTCTTCGGGATGTCAGATTCATTTTTCCAGTGGGGAGGAAGAGGGAGCATGCCTCTTCCCAACTGAGTCAGTCCCTTGAAATTCCAATTAGAATCCCCACCTAATAACTTTGGTTTGTATTGCACTGGTCACCACCATCAGCAAGAGAGGCTAAGAAACAGCAATTTTCTCAAGGCTCATTGCTAAAATGTGCTAACAGCACAAGGATATGTTACCAATGAAAAAGGAAGAATGGCTATCTGCCAAGGGAGTATTCAGCAGAAGATAAAATTCCATTTAGAAAGAAGATGTCAATCATACCTGTCAAGCCATGCTGATAGACCAAGAGATGTTGTTAGTGTATGCGATTGATTCAAACCAGTAGCTTCCTTGGCAAAAGTAAACTGGCTGTAGTATATGCAGAATGATTTCCTTAAGATTGATTTGCAAGTGATTTTTCAGGTCATTCTAGAAGCTACTCAGCACTTAGTAGTTTATAGCCACACAACTTTTAAATTTTGCTTCCATTTTCATTCTGTTGGTTGTATCATTTAATTTTTTTCTGTAGATGTGGGTATAATTTATGTTCTTAGTTCTACCGGCAATGCTGACAGCATATATTTGGGAGAAGATGTTTTCCACTCAGACTGATAGAAACTGGTCATCTAAGGTTTTGCTTTTGTAAGTAAGATTCTACAAGTAGAAGTCAATGTGCAGTGTCATTCTTACGCCAGAGATTTTAAAACACCATTTCCATTCAAGGATGCATTGTGATAAAGGCTCTATTTTGTTTTTCCTTTGTTACACAGTATTTCTTGATTTCTTTTTTTTCTAGTGACTAATTTAAACCAAATATAAAAGTGCTCATTGTTAAAAACTGTATCTTTGTGAGGGAATTTTAAAATTCATTTCTTATTAATGGTGTAATTGATATTTTAAAATTTGATGTTTCAACTTAATAGATATAATTCTTTTCTTGTCCATCATTTTCCATTCATATTCAAACATTAAAAGAAATCTTCTGACATGCGTATTTGTCTCCCTTGAGATTTGAACTCCAAAATTTGATTTTTTTTTTTTTTTTTTTTTTGGTAATTTGGATGAATGAAGTTTCTTACCGCAAATTTGGACTAAATAATAGTAATGCAAGCCAATAAATTTTCTTTTCATTTCTCTAGGTATAGAAGCCTTAAGCATTTTAACTACGATGTCTGCCAGAGTTGTTTCTTTTCGGGTCGAACAGCAAAAGGTCACAAATTACATTACCCAATGGTGGAATATTGTATACCTGTGAGTACTAACCCACTGTTTTGTTTTTAATACATTGCCATTGAATTAACTAATATCTAAAATGTTATTGTTTATTTAGACAATCTTTTTTGAAAAAATATCACTTTGAAGATTATATTTTTTGTTTTAAGTAAACTCGTTTATGTTGAGTTAATTAGTGCAGAAAAAAATACTAACTTTTTTTAACATCTATGTTTTGATTTTAAACTTTTTTGGTAGCAAATTCTTTTAAGAGCTGATACTGACCTGCATTGAAAATGATACTATATAATGAAAAATCATGTTTCTTTTAGACATATTTATGCTTTCATAGTTAAATACTATATTCATATTAGCAAAAATACAGAAAATGGAGATATTAAAAATATAATTCCTAATTATAGCTCCTATATAAACTACCCTCTAATTTTTCCATGTCTCTGGTTTTAAGATTCTATTCATATTTATATTTATATATTTTGTTCCTGATATTTTTTACTCGACATTCCATTTTGTCACACGGTATAATTTTTTTTTAGTCACAGAATTTTTAATTGAGTGAATTACTACATTTTACCTAACCTTTCCCTTAAATTTGGACATTTCGTTTATTTTCAATTTTGTGATGTTACAAATAACACTTTTACAAGTATCTTTGTGAAGGTAGCTCATTCCAGATATTATATAAATTACATTGCAATAGAATAAAGCACTATAAGTAGGTTATTTGAGTCAATGAATATGAGTATTTTTTGTGGTCAAAATACTTGATGTCAAGGTTTTTTTTCAAAAGAGGTTTATCCCACTTTACATTATTATCACACTTTGTTAAAGTTTCAATTTTACTTAGCCCCACCAGCATTGGATATAAGTTCTTGTTTTTCCTTTGATTTACAACTATTTTTTCTTGAAGTTATCCTCATGTTCTATTAATAGCTATTCTTTTACTTCCTTCCAAATAGTGCCCAAATGTATTCATCAAGCTGTCTATTTTCTTTGGTTTAGGGAATTGAGTTACTTTTTTGAATCATAAATTGACAGCAGGGCTGCAATACTTATAAAAGATATACATATAAATCTCACACTCATAGATATCTTATCTCAAATAAATAAGTGCCCTATGTATAGAGAAGAAATCTCTAGAAAATATTGCTGAATTATAATGGAGGAAGTGCCCATACCACGTAATAGCTTTAACCAGGAAAAAGAAATCTCCCCAAGAAAATTTGTGAGACAACATTTATTACTATTATTAACTTATTTATTCACCCAACAAATTAATATTGAACATTTTGTAGGTGTCAGGCCTTCTTGTCAAAGATAAACAAAACCAGACACTAGTTAAAATGGTAAGGACAGATTTTAATCAATAATACACTGATTATGCACATATACTTCTATTTGTACAGAGGTGACTAGGTGTTTTCAGGAGGGAATAGACTGGGGAAACAAAAGAGAGACTTGAGCAGAGGCAAGAAGGTGAAAACTGACCCAGCATTGGTCAGCATCAGTTCCATCAGACCAGCTGTGTCTGTGAGCTGGCAATTGTCAAGAGTTAGGATTCTACCATTCCAGAAAGACTGGGAGATAGGGGCCCTATCCTTCCTGATGATTACACTTCAGAGAAATGACTTTCGGGTCCTTGAGAAAGACACCCCTGAGTTGTTGGAGATACATACACATCTCAAAGGGACAGAGGAAGGATTCCCCATTGTAAGCCCTTTTTAGTAAATGTCCTAAGAAAGAGTGAGCAGGGACCTGTCTTCAGGTGTTGGCTAGAGCGAACAGTAAATTCTTTTGGCAGCTTGGAGTTTGTTTTTCAGGCTGACACTTTAAGAGGGCAGATGCCTTAATGATCCCCTTTTTTAGGGTATTCTAGGGATGTGGCCTTGAACTGTTAGGAATTATGTTCATGTTTGTTCAAGTTTTTTAATGGAGAAGTGGGTGGAAGGGGATGGACAAAATGATTTGTGCTGAAAATTTGCAGTTTTTATAGGTCAAGGCTTCAGTAAAGAACAGAGCTTACTGGAGGCCAACACAAATTTGGTCAAGGAGAGGATCCTTGTCAGTCATTTCAGCTCTGATAATGTATCATAGTATACCCAGAAAGACAAGATTGTGGACTTTCCTGCTACTCTCCCTTTAGGAGGAAGAATGTGTGAGAATGAACAAGGAAACAAATAAATGAGGTTATTATAGATTGCAGTAAGTGCCTTTAAGGAAATGAGTATATAATGAGATAGAATGATTAGAAGAGACACTTTAGATAAAGAAATCAGTAAGGTTTGTCTGAGCTGACATTTGAGTTGAGATCAAAGTTTGAGGGAAATTCAGGCCTGTAAAGAACTAGTAGAAGCATATTTCAGAAAGAAGAAACAGAACATACAGTGGTGTGAGATGGGAAAAAGGTTAGCGTGATTGGGCTACAGAAAGTGGAGCCTGTTCCCCAAGGGGCACGTGGAAAGGAGCACTGGCTACACAACTGGAAGTGCCCAGTGCAAAATGAAACTGGGGGGGGGCCCTTGTTTAACAATTATTAAGACTTCCAAAGTGGCAACATCAGAGCAGTAAATCAAGTTCAAGGCCCTTCGGATTGTAGGGCCCTGTGCAACTGCATAGGTCCAATATATTTGAAGCCCACCCTGAGACTGGGAAAGAGGTGGGTGTAACCAGGGAACAGAAAGAAACCGGGACAAATTTGACGAAAGAGAAACAATAGTAGAAGATGGAATTAAAAAGAAAGGCAACTATCAGATTGTATAGAACCCCAGGGATCATTGTAAGGAATTTGGATTGGGGAAAAATATCATAGTAATATTTACATGAGTAGCTATTATAGAAATTTAGAAAGCTGATTATAAAATGCTACTATCAAAATATCATAAAGTAAATATATGTTGTTATAGTAAAGATATATAAAATTACTCTTTTTCTTGGTCTTAAACGTATAATAATTCTTAATGGCTTTACAAAATACCCAAACAATTTGAAACCCACATATCTTCATCAGTTGTCATCCAGTGGGTTCATGCTTAAGAATCACTGATACACATTTGAATTCCACTTTCCAACTACCAATTTTAAATGAAATCTGTAAGTTACCCAAAATTGTTCTTGTTGCATAGTCTTTCAAAAGTCACTGTTACCATTTCCAAGATTGCAGCTTATCCTGCATTATACAAGGATAGCTTCATTTTTCAAGATATCCTTTGCCCATTTCTGAGGCTTTGTAGTGATCTTATCAACAGCCTACTTATAAATCATCTGTATGACAAGTCACTTTCTGCATTTGACCCTACAACTTTTTGTAAAATAACTAGAAGTATATATTAATTGAATCTTTTAAAAGATGCTTGCATTTAATAGCAATGAATGACCTGATTTAACTGCTTTCCGAAATTTCTTTTCGCCCACATTCTTTACATTTGCTCTACTGTTTTATTTATGGTTCATCCATCTTTTACTCAACATTTCCTAAAGTCATTTCATGTCTGCCTTAGTAAATGAACTCAAGTGTGGATTTGTTCAGGACAGTGATAATAAGCTGCACTTGAGTGTTAAATGGATCAGACTTTTCCATATGGACCTTGATGTTTACATTCCTCAGAGTGTGTCTCCCTTTTTGGTTAAGAAGATGCTCCAGTCACCTTACTGACTTCATCTCTTTCCTTTTCAAAGTCCTTTACAGCTGACTCTGAATGTTTCTATTTTTAAGAGCTTTCTGCAATTTGGAAACCTTATTTTAAATCCACAATACACCCTAAATATTTTGCCAATATATCTGCTTATAATTTATGGTAATGTTTGCCTTTAGCTGTAAGAAGACTAATGGTATATAAATGAAATATCATGACTCATGAAAGTGTTTTATGATATTGATAATTTATATATATATAAATTATCTGAAGAAATGTAGCAGAATTTTTATTTCTCTAGGAAATTACTTTTTGTCTTATTTCCCCCTACTATTCTATAATCCAAATTTGTACATTTAAGAATTATTTGGGTTGATTCCAAGTCTTTGCTATTGTGAATAGTGCCGCAATAAACATACGTGTGCATGTGTCTTTATAGCAGCATGATTTATAATCCTTTGGGTATATACCCAGTAATGGGATGGCTGGGTCATATGGTACATCTAGTTCTAGATCCTTGAGGAATCGCCATACTGTTTTCCATAATGGCTGAACTAGTTTACAATCCCACCAACAGTGTAAAAGTGTTCCTATTTCTCCACATCCTCTCCAGCACCTGTTGTTTCCTGACTTTTTAATGATTGCCATTCTAACTGGTGTGAGATGGTATCTCATTGTGGTTTTGATTTGCATTTCTCTGATGGCCAGTGATGATGAGCATTTTTTCATGTGTCTGTTGGCTGTATGAATGTCTTCTTTTGAGAAATGTCTGTTCATATCCTTTGCCCACTTTTTGATGGGGTTGTTTGTTTTATTCTTGTAAATTTGTTTGAGTTCTTTGTAGGTTCTGGATATTAGCCCTTTGTCTGATGAGTAGATTGCAAAAATTTTCTCCCATTCTGTAGGTTGCCTGTTCACTCTGATGGTAGTTTCTTTTGCTGTGCAGAAGCTCTTTAGTTTAATGAGATCCCATTTGTCAATTTTGGCTTTTGCTGCCATTGCTTTTGGTGTTTTAGACATGAAGTCTTTGCCCATGCCTATGTCCTGAATGGTACTACCTAGGTTTTCCTCTAGGGTTTTTATGGTATTAGGTCTAACATTTAAGTCTCTAATCCATCTTGAATTAATTTTTGTATAAGGAATAAGGAAAGGATCCAGTTTCAGCTTTCTACTTAGGGCTAGCCAATTTTCCCAGCACCATTTATTAAATAGGGAATCCTTTCCCCATTTCTTGTTTCTCTCAGGTTTGTCAAAGATCAGATGGCTGTAGATGTGTGGTATTATTTCTGAGGACTCTGTTCTGTTCCATTGGTCTATATCTCTGTTTTGGTACCAGTACCATGCTGTTTTGGTTACTGTAGCCTTGTAGTATAGTTTGAAGTCAGG